TCACTCCCAGAATAACTATGCAAAATAACGATCTAAAGTCGAACCATTCGAGCCACAATATTAACATAAAAATGACTTTCGTTGCATTTGACAATGATAAACTTACCGTAAAGCCGTGTTATTCTCGGTCGGTATAATCCGCCATTTTATTTGAGTGTTTGCCACCCGACTCCGCCCGGTGACGTCATCATGTGCGCTATAGAAGGAGGTCTGTGATTCGTTGACTAAAATCGTCGATAGTGGGTCTCGTTGAAATCTCGTTACATAGGCATCGGCTCAGATGTAGGTAGGGCGGAATTAAAAAAATCACAAAATCAAAATCAAAGTAAAATAATAAAATAAAATAAAAGGGCATTAATAACAAAAGTAATAAAAAATAAGTTTATAGCCAAAATAATTAAAGCCCGTACACTACATCAGATTTTAATCAGATTGCTCAAATCAGTAGATCATAACTCATTCATCAGACAGCAGCAGTGACTCTTCCAGCACAACGAATACATCCAGCCAAGATGAGACTGCCACCAAACGAACCAGAGGTAAGCTGTTAGATTACGAAGTTTTCTGAAGTTATAATTATTATTTTCGATCGTTTTGCGATGGTATTTTCTAGATTCTTTGATTGAATGCAGCATTTGCAGTTCATTCAAAATTGTGCTGGGACGTTGGTACAGTGTAAGCGACAATAACAACACGCGCAAAAACGCAAAGGCTCATGGGTAGACGTTTGTTTGTAAAAAATGACACGCTATGGCAATCCACGCATGCGCAGGTGACGACTCCCCCGCTTTAAATTGCATGATTTGATTGGGCGCGCCAAGTTGCTGGACGCATGAAGCCGGGATTAGCCACTGGCGGCGCTATATACTATCAGAACCTATTTAGGCTTGCCAACACTCACGCCGGCGAGCAGTGTAAAAAGCGCAGACACTTTGTATGTCAGAAAGCGTGTACAGCCAGCCGGTCACTGGTAGCATATTGGTTGTCACACCAGACTTATGATCGGTAGTTCAAATCCTACCTTAGCCTGAACCCCAAAAGGGTCGACCTCTACCCTGGGGGCACTCCCCACAGACTCAATGGGAAGGTCAATTCCACTCGCCCTAGATTCATTCACTAACGAATGCGACTTTGGGGTAACCTTGGTTAAGGTGCGCAGGTGCTTGTGTTCGACCGAGCCTGTTTGACGCCAGGATAGCGCATTAATAATGCCATTTGATAGGGAGATGGCCGCACAGCCCTGTCATGTAGTCCCAAACATGAATATGACTTCTGTAGCAAAAATGCACTGTGTTTCCGCACTAGCACTCTGCATATGGGGGAAGTCAAGAGGGACAACAGTGACATTCAATGCCCGGAACTGTCGTCAGGCACTAAAACAACCGCAATAGACAGAGTGGGGGTCTGTGTTGTGTTGTTTGTACTCGTACGTATCAGTGTAATGATGTGTATTCGAAGTCACATCAACCTAACAACTTCTACGACTGCAAATGGTTTGTACAAACTCGCACCATGTCTTACACTGAGTTCCTATGGAAACGCATCACAAAACTTGACTTTAGGTACCATTTACCATGAAAACACACCACAGCACGTGTCTCACATGTGTGATTTTGTCGAATACATGGTTATAATAGGAATTCTGTCAAGGTATAATGGGGAAGCGATGACCTTTGTGATACGAGCACGTGTTCAATTATTTAAAAAGTGGGCGTTGTTAGGACAATAATTATGGGTTTCGGAATTCCCAAAGACTCATGAGAACTCAACTGACTGGTAACCTTGTAATTTTCGCTAGTATTTGCTCTATTAATTATAATTTGTTGTCGGGTTTGTCGGCGACTAAAATGTGCAAATAACCGAAAAGAACCCCCTCCCCCAACTAACCCACCCACCCACTCAGCGATTCCAAAAATTTAAACGTCCACCATTAATTTCAGAATCCCATTGTTGAAAATTAAATGCCGTCACCATTAAACTTCAACAATCACAGCTATAATCTAAATTTCGATTACCTACCGGCATTTCATCAAGTAAAATTACGTTATAAACCAAAATGTTAGTTTTTAGAATATATTAGATATTCACTTGGCCATCTTTAGCCACGAACTTGTTTACTTGCTCTGAGTGATCAAGATCTGTGTCAGGTTCATGAAGTGCGATGATTAAAACAATCCAGTGATCAAAATAGATTAATATGCCTTTGACTTATATTGATGGTTTCAGAGCTATGTCTGGGAACAACTGCCTTTAAAAGGAAATCCTGTGCTATACGTATAATGAATAATGGGTAAAGATAATCTACAAAAAAAATAATTTAATTACAAAAATATAAAAGCTAGGATGGGGTCAGAAATGCTAACAATTGGTTTACTCCCCCTAATCACCAGTTAGTATATGTCTGAACTCAGACTAGTAATACAACAGACTCGCAACGCCTATTGTTTAAGATGTTAATCGGCTTAATTGTATATGCTTCGTGTTGCCATGCTGTGTTGCATTGGCATAGACACCGTCGAAGTTTACCGAACACTGGATATTCTGCACACTTCGCGCTTCGTCGGAAATTGCGTATTTCTTCGTAAATCGGATCCGGACATTTTTAAAGAAACGAGAGATGCGTTCTGGACATTTTGACCTTTGCAGCTGTGTAAGAATTTTAAGAGTCGACCAACAATCAGGGAAGTTACAAGTAACTGAATGTCTTAGTGTTTACCTGAAATAGTTTTTGAATATATAATGAGCAACTTTGAAACGATATTTCTCGCTGTTGCGATTTTGCGGAAGGTTTCCAATATTTTTTCGGAGAGCATATCGCTGCGTTTTGAACGATCATACCTCTTTGTGTGTTACCCGTTTTGTTTTCGTGTTCTCGGATGCCGAAACATGGGATAACTAGTGTCATGTACATGATATCTCTCAGCGTATCAGCGTGATCCGGAAACGGTAAAAACTGGAGGTGTGTTATTTTTGTCGCGTTCGACTTCATAGTACGCGATCTACGCAGTTGTTCAGTGACTGTTTCAATTTTCTATTGTGTGTCAGTATTGTTGCTATTTCGAGTTTGACTGATTTTGTTTGACTTCCGTCATAGTTTTGTATAAAAATAGCCCAGTATATTTCTTTATTCTTAATTTCAGGAAATGAAAAACACGAGATCGCTCAGGGGTTACCAAGTTCTTCAGAGAAATTGTCATTATCTTCGTCAAAATGTTCTCCTAAAATAGCTTCCCACTCGTAATTATCGTCTTCAGATTTGCCAAATTTTGCTAAGTTCACTGACAACTCCTGTCGTCTATGTCACTTCCTGTCTTTATGTCTCGCGATGCATCGCGATAGTTGATTGTAATATGAATAGATCTCGCGTTATTTTGTGAGATCTAATGAAAATCTTGTTGCTCAGCAACGTTTACTGGGTACGATAAGAACTGATAACTTACTTCAAAAGAAAACGCCGTGTTGCGAGTCTGTTGTATTACTAGTCTGAGGCCGTGTCGAAAACGTGCACAAAACAACCATTCTGTGCACGTTTTCGACACTGATTAAAAACCAGTTGTAAGCACAAATTTTCATATGTATGCATCAAGGTCCCATCTGTGAACAGCCAAGAAATGCTTGATTTTTAGGATTTTTTAGCACAAAAATGGCCGCCATTCAGCCATCTTGAATCAGATCGTAAAACAAAATGATGTGCATCAAGGTCCTATAATGTCCAACGTGTATACCAAGTTTGAACAAAATCCATCTGTAAACTGCCGGGAAATGTATGTGTGAATTTTGATTGTGATTGGTCCAGGCATTTCTAAGATACAGATGCACGCACGGACACACAGAGGTCAAAACATAAGTCCCCGTTTTCGGACTGCGTAATAATGAAAATTATAATTATCATTCTGTTTATAAAACAATTTTTAATTTATACTCAAATAAATGTGTTTTTATTGTAATAGTATCATCTCATTATTTTCTGGACAATATGTCAAATGTACGCTTAGCAATTTATAAAAAAAAATCTAATCTCCATATGAAGACCAATTTAATAAAGTCCCTAGGATTTGACTATATACTCAAATAAAAATAATACAAGTTTCATTATTATATATCTGGCACCGTAATTATTATAATTCACTCGTCTGTAAAATGTAGTAGTAAAATTTATGGATGTCGCATGAATTTGAAAGTCAGGCTTATTTGGAAAATGTGCATCATGTTGTTAAGGTTATCACAGAAACATCACAGTACAGGAAGACATTGACCTCCAATACGCGTTGGTGGATATGATTGTCGTACTATCTTTGTGCACTCTTTGCGGTATTCTCACAATGACCTCATACATGTATGCTTTATATCTAAATGAAGTATTTACTCACTATTCTCTGATTCACGTATTTTGTACACTAACATGTAGGCATTCCTTGATGCATGGAAACCTTTCATGAACTTGGGTTTCTTTGGAGGTTTGGGTCCACCATCTGAAATCAATGTAAAGAAAGATAACTAACTGATGAATTCTGACAAGCTTAGCTGAAAGGGTAAGTAAATAGTGATGTACATTGTACAGATAAAACCTCAACTACTTGGTGTAAAAGAAGATGGCTAATTTAAACTGTTTTTATTTCTATTTCTTTGTAAGACACATTTTTTTGCCATATATGATAATATACTAGATATATACAAGTCATATCATTACATGACTAAGGCTCAATAATTTCAATACGAAACAAAACAGAATTGAGTCAGCCATCTTGAATCAGAACATGAAACAAATTACTTGGTGCATGATCTAATGTAGTTGTAAGGTCTGTTTGCAATCAGTCAATGTATGTCAGAGAACAGCATTTACATTTGGCTCTTTTGAAAAAACAATTCAATTAGGACATATGCTTTCCACTTATAACCAAGTTCTGGATCGGAAATGACAGAAATACCTGATATTTGATGCATACCAACCATTGCCCATCTAGAATTTGATCATTCACCAAATTAATGTGGACATACATGTATGTGACATGATGCATCTATAAGTTTCTACATGAATAGTCAAGGCATGTCAGGGATATAGCTCTGAAACAGCGTTCATTCAAACAAAATGGCCATTTATATCTGATATGAAAAACAATATTACATGCATCAGGGTCCCATATTTTCTAATGTTTGTACCAAGTTTAAACAAAATCCATCCATACATGATCATATTAAACTCACAAATACTGCAGAGTGCTGTGGAAAAGCGACAATAAAATTCCCAATTGGTGGGATAAAAAGCACCCAAAAATATTAGCTCAAAACAAATGGGTGACCACAGTAATATCACAGAGAAACCATGCAGTTATATGGAAACAAAGAGAACATGATGCAAATAAGTAGGTGGTTGAGAGCAGGCAATCACTCAGTAAGATACATTGTATAGAGGAAAAGATTTCTAGTTGTTTTCTTGATTGATTTGTTCCATTATTGAATGTAATAGGCAAAACCAAAATCTGGTTTCGGAATAACAGAAATTAATCAAATCATCAAACAAATACACATACTTACAAATGTATGTCTGATATGATGTATGTGTAGGTGTAAAGTATGAATTTGATCAGTCAAGTCAGAGATATTGCCATGGAACTGCATTTGTTAAAAGTGAATTTTGAATCAATCTTTTAGAGATGAATTTATTGTATGCTATGTCATTAAAATGAGACTTACAATGTAGTGTGACCATAGACATGCAGGGATTTTTTTAAACAAGGGAACAGGAAATTCTGATTGACCAGAGATCACATGTGGCCACAGTCTTCAACTGTGACCTGTCTGTCCCAAGGAAGCCAAGAATTATCAAAAACTCCACACCCTGGTAGGGAGAACCCTATCTCCCCCACTTGGTGGCACTATTCAATTGCAGTGCATTTTTCTAGAAAAACCCTGACATGTGTTACTAATGAAGCACCTTCTAAACACAAATAGTCAGTCTTTATTACTAAGCATATATTTACAAACAGTAAGAATAATAAATATTTTCTAGGAAGAAGCAAACTATACCTTGTATATCATCTTCACTTCCCAATTTCAAATTCTTTCCCTCCATTTTTTTAATTTCTTCATCATTAAATTTATACCAGCTGCCTGTGTTCTTGTCCTTAATGTGTGCTATGTAGTGCCCAGAGTAGGCACTTGGTCCTGTGTGTATCAGGACAGCTGATAAATCATAGATCACTTGTCTCTCTGAAAAATGAACAAACTGGTTAGAAATCAGAATATTATGGCTATAGACTGTACAATTATTTGACTGTGACTCAAATGATGGTGTTTGTTTCACTTTGTGGCCATATAGGTCAACACTATACCCATGTGTACGGTTGGGGCATATTGGGTTGATATACATATTATTTGCAAAGATATCCATAATACATTCAAACATGTCCACTTTTACGTATGGCTAAATTTTTGTTTTCAACATGTCTATACAGAGTTCTTATGTATATGTGTGGCTTAATCTACTGAGCAGATCATCAGGACATGGTAAAACTAGAGTTAACATTTGTGCAGAATTATATTCGGTATATTGTTTGTGACGTCAGATATTGAAATTGCACATTTATTGCTCTCTATCACTTTTCTTTGAGACAAAGATTTGTAAAATAATAGGGAAAGCATCTGCTTACAGTGGTGAGGCACATTTGCAGAGTTTGAATCTTTCATGTTTGTATATATGTGCCTTCAGTTTCAATTTCAAAATACACATATTTATGTAAAATTAAATCTAATGTTTTTCACTGCCAGATGAATAATAAGCATGCCACTTACCTTGAGTAACTAAATACGGTGTCATATCTAAAACTTCTGGAAATTGGATATAGGAATTAAGTTTCTTTTTATGTCCAGTATTTCTGAAAAAATGAAATAAAAAGTCAAGCTAGATGAACCAGACAATGCAAGACAACTAATGCATGCATAGATAGCTAGATACAACTAAACTAGAATAAAATTTACGAGTGACTCAACTATCATGCAAGTTTTAATTACATGCAATAACAAAATATTTGTTATCAAAATTTGAGACACTGAACTTACCTATCAAAAATAAACCTTAAAAGCTGAAGATTTAAGACGGGTGGCAGTGTATGAAGTTGTATTCGTCTAGAAGCATTCTGTTTTGTAAAATGACATCTCTCACATAGATACTGATTGGATCCCTCTAATTTCTCAACTTGTAAAAATTCTTGCAAACATTCACTGAGTTCTTTATGTCCTTGTATATTTAAGTCTAACTCATAGAACCTGGATGGCCGCTGAGATATCCCACCACATGTATTGCACCTGTTAGATATTACAATAGTATTCAAATATTATTCACCGAGTTTTTATGTCCTTGGATATTCAAGTCTAACTCATAGAACCTGGATGGCCGCTGAGATATCCCACCACATGTATTGCACCTGTCAAATATTACAATAGTATTCAAATATTATTCACTGAGTTTTTATGTCCTTTCAGATTCAGGTCTGGATGTCTGCTGAGAACTGTCCCATGTATTGATATGCAGTGCTGTAATTACAACACTCAGGTTGGATTCCCACTTTGTATTACATGCAGAACACCTGCCACCATGACAACACTTCTAAGCCTTGCCTGTATAGTAAATACAGATATGTAAGGAGAGTTTTGTTTTAAAACTGGAAATTAACAACAAATGTTTGTCAAGTTTGGCCAACAAAACAAAAATAAAATGATGTGCATCAATGTTTCAAAATGCTCAATGTATGCCAGGTTGAATGGTTAACATCAATACACAACTGAGATCAAGTTCCAGTAAAAGGCAGAAATTCTTGATTACTATAAACTTTGAACACAAAAAAAATGGCCACCATTCTGCCATCTTGAATCATATTGTTAAACAAATGCATGTGCATATGCCTAAGATGTATTATATATAAATTTGAATATGATTGACCTAGGCAAGGACACACAGACACATACATGAAGGTCTAACACATGCATGAACAGGTACTAACAATAAAATTGCCATGGTTGGGCCAGTTCAGTGAGCCCATCATCACATGGCATAGGAAAGAAGCAGTGAAGTTCAAACACCTTTAACAGCGTCCGGATTACTTTCGGAAATTCCGTCGCGTTTCGGAAAGTTTTAACTTTCAATATTTATTTGTGCTTTTAGGTTAGTGAGGAGGTTATAATAATTTTTCATTTCACTTTAACTCTGTTTTTACACCCCTCAGACCCCTTTAAAAAGTCACTTCTGGCCATTATAATGGCCACTATTATCTTAATGGCCAGAATATTGACCAGAATTTTTTAAGTGGCCAAAATATTTACCAGTGTTTTTAAAATGGTGGTTTTAATTATCCATGTTTTTTATACTGGTCAGAATAATTACAATTGCTTTTTAAATGATGGAGTTTATGACATTTTTTTGATGGGCAGTATAATGGTCATTTTATTTTTCATTACATACATAACATGACCAGTATTTTTGTTCATGTCACTAATATAATGGCCCAGAAAAAAACCTTCTACCTCGTGTGAGTTTGTATTGCTCAATATTCTTCTGGGATCACTCTTTCAATTATGATGACCAAGTTTATACATAGAGTACCTTGGGGGTATATATGGTTGAGTGGAGTTTGTTTTCAGTG